GATAATGTAAAATTCTCAACCAAATCCATTAAAATCAGTAACCAACTCCCTTTAATATCAAGCCACTCTTAATTCCAACCAATTAATCAACTTAATCAACCCCGATTGCTACTGGGTAACCCAGGCCTACGAGCTATTAGCTTAGGCCCCAAGGAAGGTGAAATACTTTCACGGGCCTCGGTGTGAAACAAAGGTAGTATCAATTAACTTTTAAAATATGTTTTAAATTAAAATTCTTAATTTATTAATACTGTAAATTTTAATCAAATCCCCTTTTAAGCCTTAACAAACCAGACTTTTAGACAACTTTCAACTAATTACCCCACTTTAGGAACCTACCTCAGCCACACAACCTTTTACAACACAAACTTTAGATTATGTGCTAGGAAACCAACTCTAGATTTTAGGTTAGGCCGGTTGTTTTACTTTTATTGCTGTTGTTGCCGGATTTTTCGTAGTTTTCACTGCATGTTGTGGATGAGCATTGCTTTGGCTGTTGTCTGCTTACTTTTCGCACTTAGGATGGATTGATGTGTTTGGGAGACTAAGATGACCCTTAGGTTAGGCACGACTGATGTTGACACTATTTTCGCTGGTGGCCACGCTCATGCAGGGCAATATAAAAAAATGGGCCAAATTCAAAAAAATGCATAAATATTATAAACTCTTTGCACAGGTGCTTTCAACTGTCTAAAGCCCCCAATCATAAAAAGAGCGGTTGGCCAGTTGGTTTACTTCTTTTCTGCTCATATCAACTGCTTGGAATAATTGCCTTTTTATTTATTTAACTGCTTAGGATTAACCCTACAGGTGAGTCTAGATTTATTATCCAAGTTAAATATAATTTGTTGTAATTATTAAATGTGTGAAATGTTACGCTTGAGTTGGGATATATAGGTCCAAAGCTTCGACTCTTGAGAGAAAATGATGCCCCTAAGGGGAGTGACCTTTTCTATTTGGAGATCCAAATTTGCGGCCACACTTCCTCCCAAAACCCAAAGGGGAAGATGGCCTTCCCCTTAGAGGGAAGTGCCCTCTTATCCATTGGTAATCTACTACGAAGATTTCCAAGAAGATGAAGAAAAGGAGTCCAAAGAAGAACGAGATGAGGATTTAAGATTTGAAGATTGAGAATATCCCATCCCAAAACTACTTGCGTTCATTATTAGGTTTAGAATCCGGGTTGTTGTCAGTTTGGTGGCCGGCCACTTTACTTCTGCAAAAAACTCTGATTTTGTAATAAGCAAGGGCAACTTTGCCTATGGACATTTATTAAATAGTTAAAATTTATATTTTGATGTGATGATCTTGATTGGCTTTAGGATTACCTGCTTTTATTAGTTTTTTGGCGATTTGGATGTGCCGCTTTTGTTTTTGCCTTGGACTCGTTGAGGCTCGTGGAGGGTGTGAAAATTTTTTATTTACTCATAAACCTTAAAAATCTAAAATTTTAGTGAGCTCTAAATAACATGAAAGAGTAACGAATCTAGGATATTAGCCGGGGGATCGGACCCCGGGTCGCATGCATTATTTCTGATTTACTCTTTTCCTTGCTTTAGACCCCGTTCCCCCGCCTGCGGGTTAGAGTCCGGATAGTCCTGACCTATGAGGATGAGGTGCCGGACCTGGGAAGTCCAGTTTCTAAAAAAAATTATTTTCTAAGCCCTGTTTTTAAAAAAATTTTCAAGACATACTTGATTGGAAGTTAGTATTCTCTCTTGTGTGTGTGTGCGCGTGTGTTTGTGTATTCAATCATGTATTTTATTATTCTAATATGAATCAAATTTATTTAATTTTAAAATAATTATGAGGATATATGTATTCAATTTTAAATTTTAGTCTAAATTTAATTTCTTATATTCATAATTTCTTTTAAAATTAATGAGGAAAATATTTTTTCAATATTTATTATTATTTTAGTAATAATAATAATAATAATAATCTAACTCTATCTCATTGACATGCATCAAATGACACCCGATTTGAGAGCGGATGAGCTCATTCGATCAGTCTTGATGACCTGGACGCAATAGCGTGATCCATTTTGCAAACTAAGGTCCTGATCGAAATATGTTATGTTCAGAATAAACATGTGCATGGAATATTCAAATGCACGTAAATACACTTCAAATCGACGTCAACTCGATCACACATATTTTAAAATTTGATAATGGATAATGTGTGATCAAAATGAATAAATTATAAACTCAATGACGAATAGAAGTAAAATGCATAAGTTGAACATTCATTAGACACAACGATGCAATGCGTAGGCAAGTGGATTGTTCTAAGGAATGTACAATATAGGTGATCGACGCTAAAAAGAAGGTCAATAATGATAAGCAAAGAGCACTCTCTAGGATTCCCTTGAGGATGGTTGAATCGTTGGGAAGATTGAAACACTAAATCAATTTTGGGTTAATTAGTTGTCGTTGGAGTTTTGGCTAAAGGTGTAGTGAGTTACTTGAAGCATGAAGAAGGTGAATGTTCTCTCCAGTTATAATAGGGATGGTTGTGTGCTCTTATAACCACTAGGCCTAGCTCAATGGATTCCTAATGGCTTCAAGTCTTTTTTGACTGCCACCTATTTAGATTAAGTAAATTGGATGGCTGAGAGATACCAAGGAGGGGAATTAAACCATACTATATGCTTAAGCTTGGAGTATTTCTACTGGACACTTGTACTTATGTTAATCCCCTTTTACATGCTTTTGCCCATGATTAATCATGGATTAAGTAGTTTAACTAAGTTGAAAATGGTTGATGGGAATACTACCTCATAATATCTTTTAAAGGAAATATTAGTTTTATTTGACTTAGTTATTTGGATAAGGTTATATTAGATATTCCCAATTTGTCCCATATGGGCAAGTTGATCCATTTGGATAAAATGACCCACTTGGATGGGACAAATGGTTGTAGTTTTTTGCACTAAGTATTAAAGCTGGGAAATCTTTGGAGCATAAAAGAAGGTTTGAAGTCATTGACACCATAAGTTTTCTTAACATAACTTCTTTTTTCAAGACCCTTTCTCTTATTAATTTAATTTGGCAAAGATTCAGATAATCCACCATTTGATCACTTGAGGCGAAAACATTAAGGAATTTCTTTGTCGCCACCATCTAAGTTGAACTTGGTAAAGAAAAACCAACACTAACCTCTTTGACAAAAGGATATTTTTTAAGAAGCTCACTCATAGTATGAGCTTCAACTACATTTCTTTCCCAATTTTCATTAACTTCTTCTCTCATCTTTTTCAGGGTAAGAGCTAAAGTTTCTCCGTTACCTATTTTGCACATTTCCTCCCTATTTTTCAAAATCACTATTCATGCAATATCTCTTCCAAAAAAATTTGGAACATCCATTGATTGGAAGGAGTATGACACAAGTGTTACAATAAATCATTCTAAATAGGAATGCCAAAAAAATAAAAAAGACATAGAAGTATTTATAGACTTTTCTATATATATATATATATATATATATATAAGCACCTTTTTTTCTAATGGCTTAAATTATTTTTCTTTTTATTTTAATTCATTTTCTTGTTCTTTTTATGAGTTCTTCCCCAAAGATACAAGAGAATCAAAGAACTCAATGTACAACTAAATATCCATATAACCTAGTTCTAGTCAAGTTAGCCTAGTTTAAGTTAAGTCAACTCCTTATACTTGGATAGTTTGAAAGGAACTTGCCGGTCTATGATAGAACTTGCTTCAAGAGCGACTATTCAAGTGGATGATATCCCATGGAAAACTATCGATTGCCAATTCAACTATAGTAATACCTATGACTTTTTATTAGCTTGATTGATGACTTTTACAGATCGAATATTCTAATTAAGTACACAATGCTTGTATTTTTCTCTTATTATCGTATATACACAAATGCAGTTAGTCTTGTTGCATATAAAACATTACAAATATAAGGTCAAATGACCATGTTGTGGACTCCTATTTTGAAAAATTTATATAGTAGAGTTATCCATAAAATTTTGGAGCATTTCTTTCCAGCTCAAAATTTCACTCATTTCTCACATTCTCCCTTTTCATCTATTCATTATATTTTATCGTCTAAAATGTCATAGCTCTAAAGTATGATTTAGATATCATCAATGGACATAAAATGAGGTTTGGACCTTTATAGTTTGAATATAGTTTGATCGATTCAATTAAGGTTTGGACCTTCATACTTTGGATATGGTTCAAATAAGATTCAAACCCTAATTGAACTACGTTTGAGTGAGATTCATGAGACTCCAACCTTGTTCGAGGACTACTCCGAGCCTAGTTTTGCATCTAGCGGTCAAAATCTTAGGTTTGAAATATACATTTGATCTTTGTTCAAACAAGGATCCAATTTTGAATATGTTTTCAAATTTAAGTTGCTCATATTATCTTGTTTCTATTATAATCATGAATTGAAGACTGCATTCGGATTTATATAACTAAAAAATATGCACAATATCCTCTATTTTTAAAGGAGCTCATAACAAAGCTTTATGACAGAGAGTTGCCTGAACATGATTTTTCATGGAAAATGATTATGGCAATCGAAAAAAAAAATGATAGTTATTTTATTTGAGATTCACAATATCACTAAAGATTATGCCCTATATTGCCATCATCAGAATTATTTTATCTAAATTTATCATTCATAAATATTGTTTCAAATGAATAAACAAGGAAGATATTTGATCAATAACATTTATTATAAGATATATAAATTTTTTTATCGACCCCACGTAGTGGGATAAAGGCTTGATGTTGTTGTTGTTGTAATATAGATATTTAAGCTTGAAGCTAATTTAGGTGTGCTATAAGCCATATAAGCCAACTTTTTTAACGCCAAGCTACAGATGCATCGATTATATCGAAGTAGGACAAATGATATTATGCAAATAGAAAAAAGTCCCAACCGACAAGGTGGGCGCTGACGGCACTAAATAATTTCATTAAATTTTCGTCAATGGCTTAAATGCCGCGTCATGCGACTGCCACACTCACTCCCCTTTTTCGCTCGCGTCTTAGCCTAATTTTGCGTTGTTCACACCGAACGCTCCTATGCATCCTGCCAACGATAAAACCGAAGCTTCTCTCTCCGCTCCTTGCCCCGCCATCCACGCCTATAAATCTTGAAGCTCGGCTCGCTGACCCCCGATGGTTGTTTCCCCGGCGCAGTATCTCCTCAATGGCCCCAATCCCGCTAAAGCATTCACCGGCATCGGCGGCGCCTAATGAGGCACGGGTGATCGTGCGCGACGCCATGCGCACCGCTGCGCTTGCTTCCTACCCGAGCCTGCTTCCTCCGTCGCCTCCTCCTGTGGCACCTGACCAGGTCGTCGCCGAGCAGGTCAGGTTCGGCGGCCCAGCTGCGGACACGCACGCCACGGTGGAGGCCCAACCTAGGGTTCTCTGCTGCGAGGAGATCGATGGGAAGAGGTGGAATTACGTGGTGGAGGCTGAGGGGCCGAGGATGTCTCGCAGGGGTTCTTCCCTGAAGGCGGTGTCGTTGCAGTCGCCGGGTGCGCCAATCGATGTGAGTTGATTCGATGCTTGCACTGCTACACCTCTAATCGCTTTGATGTTTAATTTGCACGAGTTCATTTTGCGAGCAATAAACCCTAATCAGGGTTTTTATTTCGAGAAAACTTTAAACATTATCTACTTCCTGTAACCGTTCCGGTATACCATTTTTGTTTTTCTGGCGACGTAATGAGAAACGGATTGATTGCTGCTCCATATAGTTTTTCTCCGATAACTTTGTAGATGTCTCCTGGTTGCTTATTACTTCAAAAAAGAGTTGTCTGGTGAGTTGGTAAGCTAATAGCTTGAAAGGGATCCGTTGTATTTTGGTTGTATTAGATTTGGCTTGTGTTATGAAAGGTAGAGGTAGACCTAAAAGATTTAGGTTGAAAAATATTTGAAATGACATTTTTTATTAGATTGAAATGAGAATTTGACTCTTAACAGGGCATAATGGAGAAAATGAGTCATGTAGTCAACCCCACATAGTGGGATAAATGATTAATGTTATTTTTGGTCTTTCAGTTATGGGCCTTTCCTCCGAAAAATTATTACGTCCTCCCACCTGACGTAGAGATACATCCTCCAAGAGCTAAAAAATTCGGTTTTTGCTCGATATTGCTAGGTATTATTTGATAATAACGAGGAATATCATCATGTGAAGACCAATAATGAGTTATACCGAGCAATTTTTGTATTCGGTATTTTTTTGTATTGCTCGGTATAGCTCGGTATAACTCGGTATTGGTTTTCACATGATGATATTCCTCGTTATTGTTTGGTATTGCTCGGTATTTGCTCGGTATTTCTCGTTTTTTAGTGCGATTTTAGCTCTGGGAGGACGTATCTCTACGTCAGGTGGGAGGACGCAATAATTTCTCCTTTCCTACATCAAGTTAATGCATGAACTCATGTTATTCTAATTTATTTTTATGGGTTGTACTTTATTTTTGAAAAATATTTATTATCATGATAAAGAGGAGTATTTTTAAAGATTTGGAATGAACTTGTAGTAGTTTCTTCATGAAGATTTGAAGTGGGCTTGAAGAAACTTTTCAATGAAGATTTTAAGTTGACTTGAAGTAGCTTCTTCATGAAAAAATTTGAATTGAGTCCTTGAATATGTGAAGAAGATGAAACATCATTTTCATTTCATAAGTCATAGAGGATGAAAACTCAAATTTTTAAGAACTTCATTGAAATCATCACTTCATGTATTGTAATAAGGGACCTGATCTTATCTTTATGAACACTCTTGTGATGGAATGAAAGATAAAGTTGAGTTGATGCTGGATAACATGCTATGTTAGCAATTTGATAGATAAGACTTGGTCTTCTCCTTATAGAGGACTTAGTGACGATTTCATTTACATGAGAATTCCCTTCTTTTACCCTCCATTTAATGTCTTATAAATCACACCCTATTCATTTTAACTTTAATGCACATGATAACATTCTTTTCTTTTAAAAAACACAATATTATAAGCAAGATAATGATACTAGTACAATTATTGCAAACTAAAATACAAATGATAAAATACATGAAGCATAGAGCCAAAGGATAAATCATCTAACAACGCTAGAAAACAAGTAAGAGTTTATTTGGACTGCCATGCTTGAAGTCTGCCTAAAACAGGTGAGTGTTAATGCGTTTTTTTTATTACTGTACTATTTGGTAAATTAAATTTGAATTCTATTATTCGCTAAAAATGTTGCCACCCATAATTCTCTCATTAGAATCATTAGGTTGCAGAACATCATAACTAAATATATCTGCACTTATAGGAGGGAGAGGTGGGAGTTTTAGAATTGGAAACTCAAATGAATAGATCATTTATGTATTGCTTGCAACTGCAAGCACAATAGTCTCAGGATCCTGAAGTTAGCCAATTGACCACTCTTGACATTTGACTGTCCCTCTTGTGGTTAAATGTATGATTTCTTCATATTCGGATAAGCCTTGAAATTGTTAATAAAATTGTTGCCTAAAGATTTTGCTAAAAGAATTATATGAGGGGATGCCTTCAAAGAATGCTTGAATTTGAGTCAATTCATACATTCTTTTCCAACGACAAGGTAGTGCCTATTTCTATCAAAACATTGGCCACATAAGGTCTCGAAAGATGAGTTATAATAATTTTTGTGTGTAAGGGTTTATCAAAGATAGAACTTGAAGAGTACAAGGTAGCTTGGTTGAAAAATGTAATCAAAATTGAGGAAATACTCTCTAATAGGAGGGATATGTGGGACAACAAATGCAGAAAAAAATGAGGAAATCACTTGAGCATACACATTAGAAATCCACTGGCATAATAACTATGTTTAGAGAAGAGCAGTGTATGAGGATAGTCTTATAATGATGTGAAGAGGATTAATAAGGTCAACTGAGAGTTACCCATAAAGTTTAAGTATGATAGAAATTTGCTAATTACGTTAAGAAGACCCATAAAGTTTTTCCTTGATATGATAATGGTTGATTATGTTTCGATGGAGCTGAGTCTTGATGATAATGCAAGTAAAAGTGGCCTGAAGGAAAATGGTGCAATCCCGAGTTATATGATCAACCCACAACTTTTGCAAAAGAATGAAAGTTGCGAGTGATGGGAGGTATGACCTTTGATGAATTGAGGCCAATCAATGGAACCTCCAAAATAATTGGCATCGGAGGTGGAGACAAAGTTCATGGAGGAGTCACCATGACCCTTGAAGCATCCAAGGAGGGGAGTGGTAGTGGAGGAATATGGACTATAGAGATGGAGAGACAACAAGTTTTGTCCAACAACATTGAGGAAACAAGTGGCAAGGATCTCTAGCAGGGGGATAAAGTTGCCTGGAGTTGAGAGCAGCCACCAGTGAAGGAGGGCACAATGCCTCAACTATGGATGGCCCACTTGGAGCCATTAGGCGTTAGCAATCCACATGTGAACATCAATAGCATTATCCCAACTATTTAGGGTCAATTTTATGATCCTAGATTTCCATTCATCATTTTGAGAGCTATCTAAGATGCTAAATCTATTTCTCATAAATCATTTGAATAAATTCTATCTATTTTGTTTTGCCCGACAATAGTGAGGAAATAAATGGCAAGGATCTCTAGAAGGGCAATAAAGTTGCATGGAGTTGAGAGCAACCATTAGTGAGGGAGAAGGAGCACAAGGACTCAGCCCTAGATGGCTCACTTGGAGCTATTAGGTGTTAGCAATCCACAAGTGAACATCAATAGCATTATCCCAACTATTTAGGGTCAACTTTATGATTCTAGATTCCCATTCATCTTTTTGAGAGTTGCCTAAGGTGATAAATTTATTTCTTATAAATCATTTGAATAAATTCTATCTATTTTATTTTAGGTCTACTTCTACTTCCTAATCCCCTAATATTAGTTTTATCATCTCATTTAATAGCTTCATTTTCTGCCCTTCATTGTACCTTTCCAAACCACCAAGTCTATTTTTTTAATTATCTTGTTTTTAATAGATGCACTTTAGCCATTCTTCTAATATAATCATTTTAAATTTATTCTTACTAATTTTATCCCCCAACATGATAGTTTGAAACCAGGTTGTATAGAACATCTTTGAGCATTGGAGGAAGAATATGCTTTTTCAACATAATTCACTAACACTTACAAAATGGGCGAGATGTACATAGCTTATTCTTTTATTACGGGATAGAATTAAAATATTTCAGAATTATAAAATTCTTTTGCTAAATTTTATGGTGAATGCATTTGCTAAACTTAGAGGTATTTTTAAAGATAGACATTGCTGATTGTCTAATTGTTTATTTCGTTGGTCTCTTTTAATTTATATTATTTATCTTATAGTATTTTATTTTCTAAGACATTGCTTTTAAATTATTAGTATATACAAGTTGACATGTTTATTTCTGAACTCTGAAAAAGGCATACTAAGTTTGAGTGTGCTTCTGTTGAAATGAATGTGTCCATATTCATGCATGACCAGGCATGACATGTGCATATTGTGAACATGCATACATTTATATAGGTCTGTAAGTATAAAATTGATTTGCTATTGAAATTTTCATATTGGTTAGCCCTCTCTCAATTCTTTTCCCTTTTGGAAGTTTGAAAATTTAGATGGAGTTCCACACTGTTAGTTGTTAATTTTCAATGCTCTTTAATCTAATTTATGCTTATAATTGGAGTTTTGGTAGAATGTAGTCATTCTCAGTCTTTCATGCCATGTGCATTTCAGCTAGTATTTAATTTGGAATACTGGCTCATAAAGTTGCTTTTCATGAGAATACTCACTTTTTTTCATTTCTTTTCAAGGAAATCTTCGCATTCATAAGATCATATGTTGTCCCTGAAGGCTTTCCTGACAGTGTTACCCCTTCATATGTCCCATATATGACATGGAGAGCTTTGAAGGTTGGTGGTTTTATCTGCTTCACAATTCTAACTTTTGCTCGTGATAATGGCTTATGATGCGTGCTGATTTTTACACGCATTTGAAGTATTCATTATGGATCTTGTTTTTGCAGCATTTTTTTGGTGGTGCGATGGGTGTTTTTACTACACGGACACTTCTAACTTCTGTTGGAGCATCTAAAAACAGCGCCACTTCTGGAGCTGTTGCTATTAACTGGATTCTTAAGGTAAATGAGATATATTCTTTCAGTTATCATGAATATCATTTTGTTTGATGATGTTGATGAAGCTTATCTGCACTCTTCAATAAAGTTACTTATATTCTGTTTTTGAAGAACCTAGTATTCCGTGCCTGGTCCCTAGCAAATTTTACCCTTGCAGTGAAATTGGATAATGCTCACCAAACAAAAATATTCCTCAACGTGAAGAGTACATTTATTTTCATGGTCACTCCATCAAAAGTTTTGTTTCATTGATTTCTACATGGAGGCATAAGAGGTTTTTTTTTTTTTAAATCAATGACTAATCCTATCTAAGTCAACCCTTCATTTTTTGTGTAGTTTTATTCATCTGTCACTGTTTACTTAGGAATTTCTTGTTATCTGTGCTATAGAAAATTAACTTTTTTCGTTGCTGAATTGATGTTTAAATCATGCTTGATTTTTTGCATAAACCTTATATGTAACAAATATTTATGACAACTTATAATCTCTAGGTAAATAAATACTTGGTTATAAAATTTTTGAACTCGATAAAATATTTAAACATCATTATCATCTTATTTGAAGTTTTTCTGTTGGCCATGAAATTGACCTATGTGATAGATGAATGGTAAACATTATTTTTAAAAATTTTCATTCATATTAACCTATGTAGTCTTTATTTTATCAGCAACACTTCTCTAAAATGATTGTGTTCCCACAAATTTTATTTTAGCGAATTCTACTATTTGGAAATCAAATGTGATGAAAATTTGAAGACCTTCTTTTACATTATTTTTTTAATCAGAAGGTAAATTTGTAATTTTATGCAAAGAGTAAGTCCAAAATAGGACTAAATCTATGAGCCATGGTTTAAAATTGTGCAATATGAGGCTTACATTGAGGTCCACCTCAGCACAATTCCAGTAAAAAACACCTTGAGCTTTTTTATGAGGCTTACACCTCATCTTGGTTGAGGCGCGCCTCTTCTCACTGGCATAAGGCATATGCCTTGCTCTATTTACTTATGCCTTTTATTTAAAACTTGGCTAAATCCTAT